GCCGATCCCATCAACGGCTTCAACGCTGTGGTCAACCGCGAACCCCTCGTCAAGGCTGTGAAGACCATTGCCGCTGCTCCAGTGGTTGCCCACTATGCTGCCCCTGCTGTGGTCAAGACTGTCGCCCCCACTTACCACGCCTATGCCGCCCCTGCTCCAGTCGCCCACTATAGCCCGGCTGTTGCCTACCATCATTAAATGTGTTAATTCTACCGCAGATCTGTTATGTCTTAAAGTAAATGAATAAATTGTTATAGATAATATGAAAACATAGAAATTTGTCAATTTAGAATTGATTGGGTATTTCCAGTATTAATCCCATCAACAATCAATGTATTCATGTTTTTAGCAGTAGCTGAAGAATGGGCTTTAGTTTCAATTCACCTCAGCTAACACGTCCCTACTCTAGACTGCGCCCAATATGATAACCTTGAGGTGGGTCAATTTGTTACCGGCTCCTTATTATTATTTGGAACTCGTTAAATAAAACTATTTGTACTCATTCACCATTTGCATCCATTTATACTCATGCAATATGTGCAATGTCTGTCCTACTGTCCGTCCGTTTGTTCGTCTCTATGCACGCAAACTATTTTGACACTACTAACAAATTGGTAAAACAGTAGGTATTCGAAATGTAACGGCTCAGTTATGGTTTACTTTTACTATTGATGTACCAAACACCATATATGTTCATAAGGATGAAGCAAATTTTGGATCTGGCAGCGCTTAGACCACGTCTGCGCTTTATACAATTGGCTGCGTCTGAATAATTCTAGTCTTTTTCATAGGAATTTAAGACAGGTGTTTTACATAATCGGCGAATGGAAGATATTTGCAGAACATATTTGAAATTAACTATTTCTGTTTATTTTCAAATTATCTATAACAATTTATTCATTTAATATAACAGATCTGGGATAGAATTAACACACTTAATGATGGTAGGCAACAGCCGGGCCATAGTGGGCGACTGGAGCAGGGGCGGCATAGGCGTGGTAAGCAGGGGCGACAGTCTTGACCACAGCAGGGGCAGCGTAGTGGGCAACCACTGGAGCAGCGGCAATGGTCTTCACAGCCTTGACGAGGGGTTCGCGGTTGACCACAGCGTTGAAGCCGTTGATGGGATCGGCGGTGTACTGGACGGTGCGCTTGTAGCCATCGGCATCCACCAGCGAGTACTCGCCGCGGACCACATCGCCATCGCGCTCCTCCACCTGGCTCTTGGAGTCGCCGGAGAGGGAATCGTGCACATCGTAGGCGTACTTGTACTGGGGATGGGGGTCGTACTCCTCGGCAGCCTTCGTGAT